GTGAGTACCTGCTGACTCTTGCTAGTACCTTGATGACTCTTAGCAGTGCCTGACGACTCTTAGCAGTGCCTGACGACTCTCAGTACCCCAGTACCACACTCTTGACCCCAACCCCCAGTACCCACACCACACAGCACCCAGTACCCAGGTCTGGGATGGTCTCAGACCACATCACAAGTGTTCCCAGTGTTGGAAATATCCTTCGGTAGGTCCCCGAGCCTGAGGACAGCAGTTGTTCCCGCTGCCTCAACAGGGAGTTATATTTGTTGCCACACCTGCCTCAACAGGGAGTTATATCTGTTGCCACACCTGCCTCAACAGGGAGTTATATCTGTTGCCACACCTGCCTCAACGGGGAGTTATATTTGTTGCCACACCTGCCTCAACGGGGAGTTACACACGTTGCCACACCTGCCTCAACGGGGAGTTATATATGTTGCCACACCTGCCTCAATAGGGAGTTACATATATTGCCACACCTGCCTCAACGGGGAGTTATATTTGTTGCCACACCTGCCTCAACGGGGAGTTACACACGTTGCCACACCTGCCTCAACGGGGAGTTATATATGTTGCCACACCTGCCTCAATAGGGAGTTACATATATTGCCACACCTGCCTCAACGGGGAGTTATATTTGTTGCCACACCTGCCTCAACGGGGAGTTACACACGTTGCCACACCTGCCTCAACGGGGAATTATATATGTTGCCACACCTGCCTCAACGGGGAGTTATATTTGTTGCCACACCTGCCTCAATAGGGAGTTACATATATTGCCACACCTGCCTCAACGGGGAGTTATATATGTTGCCACACCTGCCTCAATAGGGAGTTACATATATTGCCACACCTGCCTCAACGGGGAGTTATATTTGTTGCCACACCTGCCTCAATAGGGAGTTACATATATTGCCACACCTGCCTCAACGGGAAGTTATATATGTTGCCACACCTGCCTCAACGGGGAATTATATATGTTGCCACACCTACATGCGCGAAATCCGCCTTCCAAACCTTGATTTCGCGCCATTGTGGACCAAACCAGCGATTGCGTGACGCTTCGCGGTCGTCGAACATTTTTCCCGCCAAATGTTGAGTGGCGCGCGAATAGCCCAACACGAACACAACATTAATCCAAGTTTAGGCAATACTGACCTTTGGGGGCACTGTTCCGTACGACGTATTCTGCCTGTTAACTCTCCGAAGGGGAGGGGGGGATAGGGTAAGGCAGATATAGAACTTTAGCCTTAATTTCACTAGAGAACAGTGGTTATAATTTGTATTTTCATTTACTGCTTCTCGCTCGTAGACGTTAAGGTCAAAAATCGTCGTACTAGAAAATGAAAGCGGTTGGGGAAATCGACATACTGTCCCGTTTTCTGTTTGGGGTTCTCTGGTAGGTTAGGATAAATGGGCACTTTAGTACGACAGTTTCTTGACGTTGGGGTAACCTTAGGAGGACATCTCGGTGACGGTCCCGGCCACGGGGGGCAAGAGCAACAAGTACAGTCAGCTGAATTATCAAACAACTTTGTTGAAATACGATTGCTCACTCGTTTGGGCAAAGCTGCGGGTATAGTGGTATATATGATGCCATATTGCTGCCCCCACACCGCCAGGGTTCGATCCTTCTGCGGTCCCAGGTGTCTACTTTCTACCTTCTACTTTCTACCTTTTACTTTCACCGCAGTGTGAGCCTCAGTTCTGCCCCAGCTGTGGCCACCAAATATACTGTTGGGTTACACAAATATAAGTTAAGTTAGGCAAAGTTTTTACATTTATTTTAGTTCTTATTCACACATTCGCACTTTGTTATAATTCTGCAAGTTGTGCTTGAGGCAGGGGGAGAGGCAGGGAGGTTGTGCTTGAGGCAGGGCGAGAGGCAGGGAGGTTGTGCTTGAGGCAGGGCGAGAGGCAGGGAGGTTGTGCTTGAGGCAGGGCGAGAGGCAGGGAGGTTGTGCTTGAGGCAGGGGGAGAGGCAGGGAGGTTGTGCTTGAGGCAGGGCGAGAGGCAGGGAGGTTGTGCTTGAGGCAGGGCGAGAGGCAGGGAGGTTGTGCTTGAGGCAGGGCGAGAGGCAGGGAGGTTGTGCTTGAGGCAGGGCGAGAGGCAGGGAGGTTGTGCTTGAGGCAGGGCGAGAGGCAGGGAGGTTGTGCTTGAGGCAGGGCGAGAGGCAGGGAGGTTGTGCTTGAGGCAGGGCGAGAGGCAGGGAGGTTGTGCTTGAGGCAGGGCGAGAGGCAGGGCGAGAGGCAGGGAGGTTGTGCTTGAGGCAGGGGGAGAGGCAGGGAGGTTGTGCTTGAGGCAGGGGGAGAGGCAGGGAGGTTGTGCTTGAGGCAGGGCGAGAGGCAGGGAGGTAGTGCTTGAGGCAGGGCGAGAGGCAGGGAGGTTGTGCTTGAGGCAGGGCGAGAGGCAGGGAGGTTGTGCTTGAGGCAGGGCGAGAGGCAGGGAGGTTGTGCTTGAGGCAGGGCGAAAGGCAGGGAGGTTGTGCTTGAGGCAGGAGGAGAGGCAGGGAGGTTGTGCTTGAGGCAGGGAGAGAGGCAGGGAGGTTGTGCTTGAGGCAGGGCGAGAGGCAGGGAGGTTGTGCTTGAGGCAGGGGGAGAGGCAGGGAGGTTGTGCTTGAGGCAGGGGGAGAGGCAGGGAGGTTGTGCTTGAGGCAGGGCGAGAGGCAGGGAGGTTGTGCTTGAGGCAGGGCGAGAGGCAGGGAGGTTGTGCTTGAGGCAGGGCGAGAGGCAGGGAGGTTTTGCTTGAGACAGGGCGAGAGGCAGGGAGGTTGTGCTTGAGGCAGGGCGAGAGGCAGGGAGGTTGTGCTTGAGGCAGGGCGAGAGGCAGGGAGGTTGTGCTTGAGGCAGGGCGAGAGGCAGGGAGGTTGTGCTTGAGGCAGGGAGAGAGGCAGGGAGGTTGTGCTTGAGGCGGGGGGAGAGGCAGGGAGGTTGTGCTTGAGACAAGGGGAGAAGCAGGGAGGTTGTGCTTGAGGCAGGGGGAGAGGCAGGGAGGTTGTGCTTGAGACAAGGGGAGAGGCAGGGAGGTTGTGCTTGAGGCAGGGGGAGAGGCAGGGAGGTTGTGCTTGAGACAAGGGGAGAGGCAGGGAGGTTGTGCTTGAGGCAGGGCGAGAGGCAGGGAGGTTGGGCTTGAGACAAGGGGAGAGGCAGGGAGGTTGTGCTTGAGGCAGGGAGAGAGGCAGCGAGGTTGTGCTTGAGGCAGGGCGAGAGGCAGGGAGGTTGTGCTTGAGACAAGGGGAGAGGCAGGGAGGTTGTGCTTGAGGCAGGGGGAGAGGCAGGGAGGTTGTGCTTGAGGCAGGGAGAGAGGCAGGGAGGCCACCCAGGAAGCAGAGGGCAGAGGCAGCACCCTGCAGAGAGCAGAGCAACATTCTGGGCGCCAGTCAGGCGACCGCCCTCGCTGCTCAAAGATCACAACATGGGCGCCAGAGGGCCCCTGGGGGCCCCAGGGGCCCTTGGGGACCACCTCGCCGGCCTCGTTAAGGACGCAGGGGCCCGCGGGGGTCCGGCAGTAAAGGTGTCGTGGCGGTAAAATAAGGATGTTTGGCGATGTAAAGCAAAGGAGACATTAATAGGTACACGATTTGGCTGTTATGTAGGTGGGAGGGAGCGCCCGGTCTCCCACGTACACACCCGCCCATGTACACCCACAGTGTGACACCGCCAACACAGTGTGACACCTCCCACACAGTGTGACACCTCCTCTACAGTGTGACACCTCCCCCACAGTGTGACACCTCCCCCACAGTGTGACACCTCCCCCACAGTGTGACACCTCCCCCACAGTGTGACACCTCCCCCACAGTGTGACACCTCCCCCACAGTGTGACACCTCCCCCACAGTGTAACACCTCCCCCACAGTGTGACACCTCCCCCACAGTGTGACACCTCCCCCACAGTGTGACACCTCCCCCACAGTGTGACACCTCCCCCACAGTGTGACACCTCCCCCACAGTGTGACACCTCCCCCACAGTGTGACACCTCCCCCACAGTGTGACACCTCCCCCACAGTGTGACACCTCCCCCACAGTGTGACACCTCCTCCACAGTGTGACACCTCCCCCACAGTGTGACACCTCCCCCACAGTGTGACACCTCCCTCACAGTGTAACACCTCCTCAGAAGGTGGTCTGGCCGAAGCCGTCAGTAGTTTCAAAGCGTTACACGACAAAGAGTGCTGGGAAGACGGGACACCAGGAGCGTAGCTCTCATCCTGTAACTACACCTAGGTAACCACACACCCACACACACACACACACACACACACACACACACACACACACAGCTCCCTGAAAAACGTGGGAAAATTAAAAAATGTATTCCTCCAGAGAGACATGACAAGGGAGGAGAGAGCCGTGGCGGCAGAAGCAAGGAAGAGGCGCAGGGCAAGAGGGGAAAACCAGGAAGTCACAGCTCCCAACACAACACCCCCAGAAGCGAGGGGGGAACCCACAACCAGCTACCCAGTAACACCAGAAGGGAGGACAACCCCGCCTCCCTCCTCTGCATAGAAAACCCCCCTACCCCAAACCCTCCCTGCCCCCACTCAAATGTTCAGCCAAATCTCCCTCCCCCCACACCCAATCCCCACCCTTCTACCCCTCCCCTCCTCCCGAGTCCTCCCTCCCCCCCTTTCCGTCCCGTCCTCCCTCCCCTTTCACCCCATACCCTCCCTGTCCCTCCCCCTTCAGTGGATCCCCCGCCCCTCATCCCAGTATCCTCTGAGACCCTGTTATCCACCTCACAGGTCCTCACACCCATGGAACAGCCTTCCCCACCAGCAGAACACTCACCAAGGAGGCGATTTGAGAAGGGTGGAATTACAAATAAAGCAAATGAGCTTGGAGAACGGGTATTAGAGGAAAACCTAGACATAATAGCCCTCACAGAAACAAAGATCACGAAAACGATAACAAACGCAGTGTTCCCACAGGACTATTATGTTATGAGGAAAGAGAGGGAAGGAAGAGGTGGGGGTGGTGTAGCTCTGCTGGTAAGAAA